AGTGGTTTTAAGAGTATATCTAGTAGATTGCTTAATCTTTGTGTACTAGATGCGGGTCCTGCAATGATGGGCCTCAGTTTAAGATCATTTGGTCTAGGAAGTTTTATGTAGGTAGATTTTCATTTCTTCACATTTTTCTGGATTTCTTTATATTTGTGTATTTTGGGAAGACCATAAAAATGGCTAGTTTTAACTTCAAAATTCGTAAGGTATTCAATTTCGTTTTTCGTGAGGTTACTTTTGTACTTCTTTGTGAGGTTTGCTATTTTAAGCATAGTTTGCCGATCCTGATTTTGTTCTAGTTTCTTATAGAACTGATTATCCTGGAGTTTAGATAGACACATTTCACATTTATTTATAGTGTCCTCTGTCTATAATTATTATAGCTCCTCCTTTATCGGCGCCTTTGATAACAATTGTTTGGTCTCTTTTAAGATTTTGCATTGCTTGATATTGATTATGTGGAATATTTGATGTTATCTTTTTATCCGCCATGTTGAAGTGAGCTGCCTTTCTAAAACATGATATAATCCCCCAAATGTTTATCTCTATTAAACGGTGGCTTAAAACCCTTCTTACTTTTAACTAGAGATATGTCATCATTGGTTTGATTTTGAAAGAATTCCTTCAAGCGTAATTTTCGGCAGAATTCTTCTGTGTCCGTGACGACATCAACCTTATCAGACTTCGGCGTAGGCGTGAATTTTAAACCATGTTCCCAAAATTTTATTTCATCACTATTTAAGTCTCTTTGTGATAGGTTGATAATTTGGGTTCTGTAGGAAATATGTTCTCTGTATTTTCAGGACAGTTTATTATTTCTTTCGTTTCGTTTGAGTCCAACCCTGTCCTAAAAAAAGAATTCCTAGAATTCTGCAGTGACTTACTCCTTGTGTTTCTCTGAGTTGTCCTCTGTTAAAAGGAAGAATTCCTAGCATTTTTGTATGTTTCTTGTGTAAGTTTCTCCAAGAGTTTTTATGGTTTGATTTATTGGGTGCAGTTCTTCCCTTTGCAGTGAATCTCTTTCGTTCAATTCTGTGTGGATCGTGTTCTCTGTTTTGAACATACCCAGGGTACATGTATTGTTTTGAAGACTTCTTTGAATTACTTCGTCACTATTATTGATATTGATATTAATATTGATATGATATTAATCAAATAGGGCTATTTTATAACACTGTTCAACCCAAAACTAAATCGCAAATGATATGTATTCATAGATTTTATATTATTTCTATGCTTTAATTACATGTATACATTGTATTTTAACTGCGCTGAAAAAGCTCACGCAGCCGCTACCACAAACTTCATTGTGACATCATAATGACTTATATTATCTCGACTTCATTAGCAACGTTATTGACAACGTTTTGAACTTTTCATAACTGTCTGAAGAGCCACCATGGCTGAAAGCGCTAACAGTAAAGATTTTATTTAATTTGGACTGTAGCATTCTGTTTATATATATATATATATATAATCAATATATATATATATATATATATATATATATATATATATATATATATATATATATATATATATATATATATATATATATATATATATATATATATATATAACCTGACCCACGCGCTGCGCAAGCAACGTTCCCGACTTAATGCTATGTAACAGTGTTAATAACTATTTACAATTATACTGTGTATTTTGAATTCGCCCCGTTTTAAATTCGCCAACCTGTGAGTAGGACAAAGGGGCGAAAATAAAAGGGGAGCGAAAGTTTCCCTGTATATAGTTTATGTATACAAAATATACGCTATACATCTCTATTCAATTTTGAAATACTGATCAAAGTGGCCTAGTTATAGGGCGTTTGCTTCGTGATCGAATGCCCGGGGTTCGATTCTCGTTCGCTGCGCCACGTCAAACCTAAAATGTAAATATAGGTCTTGATTGATCCTTCACCAAGCGCCCAGCACCAGAAGTGGGGCGTTTGTCACGATAAAGAACCCTCGCTGCTCAATGGCCCTGAGTGCAGAGTAAAAGTTCTAATTTTGAATTTTTTTCACTAGTATATGGTGACGTCTCTCTATGAGTGAAAATTGCTAGAATGTGACGTTAAACAACATACAATTAATCAATCAATATTGAAATTAAATGGGGTTTGGATCAGGTCAGGTGCCGGCGTTTCTGTTATACTTCACATATAATAAATATATTCGCTACATTTAAATCGATGTATCACATTTGTTTACTTGCACTAGTTATACATGTAACAAATGATAAACAAACTTATATAAAATACTTTATAATTGTAAATATAAATGAAACGAATATAGAAAAAGTATTTACAAGTCCAAGCACATATTCTACGCATTTAAACTGTCAACGTCACGCTCTAAAAATAAAAAAAGTGTTTATTTCATTAAAAAGGAAATATTAAGGTTAGTTCCTCTTCATTTCACAACTTGCACCATATATCTTAACATCGTAATCTTTGAAGAAAAAGATGAGCTAGTCATTCATGCATATCCTGTTGCCATTGCTATCAATACATGAATCTTGGATTTCTTGTTTCTTGTTATTTTTTTCCAGATGGATTTTATATTTCAAATATGTAAGTATTTTCATTTAAAAAAGTTGATTACAAAGAAAATTTAATTCAATGGCAAGAATACAACTTTATGCAAGTTACAGTCCCTGAATCACATGTCTACTATAATGTATGAACGAACGCTGTGCGCAGTGTCGTTTACTGATTTTTATTTGAAAATTAAAATAAGTTTATTTTCTTATACTTATTTTCATTTTGTAATAAAAATCAGTAAACGACAGCTGTACTAGTGAAATTAATCCTTTTTTTTTCTAGAAATATGTAAGAATTTTTTTTAAAAAAAAAAAATTTCTTTAGTTATCAAAAATACACTCAAATGAAATGAAATTTGTATGATTACAGCGCTTAGAGGTTGGTCATAATAATATACCGAAAATTTAAGAAACTATTTACTTGAAATCTGTGTCCAAGCACGGAAGCCCATTGAGGCCAGTTCAGAAAAAGAATTATTTTTTATTGCGTTTAAACGCAATAAGTATTGCATTTCAACGCAAAACATTGCGTTTAATCGCAATGATCATTGCGTTTAAACGCAAAAGATTGCGTTTAATCGCAATGTATATTGCGTTTAAACGCAAAACACTTTGCGTTTAATCGCAAAAGATTGCGATTAAACGCAATCTTTTGCGTTTGAACGCAATAACTTTGCGATTAAACGCAATAGTTTTTGCGTTTAAACGCAATACTTTTGCGATTAAACGCAATACATTTGCGATTAAACGCAATACTTTTGCAATTAAACGCAATACTTTTTCGATTAAACGCAATAATTTTGCGATTAAACGCAATAATTTTTGCGTTTAAATACAATACTTTTGCGTTAAAACGCAATTATCTTTTAGTTAAAAGGCAATAATCTTTGTGTTTAAAGGCACTCATATGTATCAAACCTTGCAGAGTACAGTGGACCCACGCATACTTATATCTTTTATTTCTTTCTCTTTTTACTTATGAGGAAATTGCGTATTGTTTAGCTTTATAGAATCAGAATTCTCCGATCAAACTCTCTCTGAAAGGATAAATCACTAATAAGAATTGATAGAGGAGAAAAAAATGTTGGGTTGTAAAAACAAAGGCAACCTAAGAACGAGACATGTCTTAAAGCTTATTATTCTCTACATTCTTAATGAAGTTTTGGTCATTTGCTCTGTTAAAAAAACTGTCCCCTACGTTGCGGTCACAAGTTTAACCCATGTATAAAGGGATTTTTGGAAAGGACTGAGGAAATGTTGGAATTACGTACAACATGATGAAATATTTAGACTTTAATGTACATTCATAACCCTTCCTATGGTTGCATATAGTAAACACAAGAACATATGTGATGGATTTATATAAGATCAAAATCAAAATCAAATGAAAACAGATTGATCGATGTGCACTACATGTATTAAATTGACAAGTGCTATTTATACTACTGAAACATTCTCTATAAGTTGTGATATACGTAAGCAATTGATCAGACACTTCATTATGAGTTTTGGGTTCTAATACATTTAAGACATTCAGGTTGTTAGAATGCCAGTGTTTTACTACAATTTTCAAAAACTGGAAAATTTTGCAAAAAGATACAGAACAAATCGGATCTTCTTAAAGTTGAAGTGTCGGATCCTAGTACATAAGATTATAAGCTTTGACTAATTCATCTTTGATTTTGAAACTACAGTATCATTGTGTTTAAATGCAAAACAAATCCTTATAAGGAAGGTTTATTGCGTTTAAACGCAAAGATTATTGCGTTTAATCGCAAAAATTATTGCGTTTAATAGCAATACTATTTCGTTTAAACGCAAAAGTATTGCGTTTAATCGCAATACTACTGCGTTTAATCGCAAAAGTATTGCGTTTAAAAGCAAAAATACTACTGCGTTTAAACGCAAAAAGTATTGCGTTTAAACGCAAAAGATTGCGTTTAATCGCAATCTTTTGCGATTAAACGCAAAGTGTTTTGCGTTTAAACGCAATATACATTGCGATTAATCGCAATCTTTTGCGTTTAAACGCAATGATTATTGCGATTAAACGCAATGTTTTGCGTTTAAACGCAATGATTATTGCGTTTAAAAGCAATAAAAAATATTTCTTTTTCTGAACTGGCCTCAACGGGATTCCGTATCCAAGCCCCTTTAACAGATATTAAACGTATGAATGCTTCTGGCGAAAAAAAAATTGGAAAATTTATTTCTCCCTGTATTTATTTCATTTACATCTCCAAAATTATAAGGTTTTACCTTTTTACTTGCAACCCTTACTTGGGGATTATGAACTTTAGAATCTTATACTTTAAAGACTTTTCTCAGTCAGTTAAGTTGAGACTGAGTTTCAAATCTTTGTCCTTTTAGAAGAGAATAATAAACTACATTTGAAAAAAAAGGCAACTATTATCCTTTCAGAGTGTGAATCAAACTGCATAAAAACCAACAGAATGGCTTCTAAACCAAACCCCGGCGATCGTGCTAGGTTTGCTAAACTCGGAATGGCAATAACCGAAGAATTGACCCAGGCTTGCAGGGATGTATTAGAAATGGAGGTTCCCCCTGGACTGGTGTATAGCAAGGTGAAAGCATCTTCATTTTATTATAATATACGCCCCGAACAAGAAAAAAAACTTATATGCGCCAATAATAATGGCTATAAAGAATTTGATATTACGCTAATATATACACTGATAAGAAATATTTGTACAAAGGTTCCTCTTCCAACAAAACTTAATTGGGGTGGAAATACAATGCCAGCAGTAGGAGAAATAACGATTGGCGATGACATTGAGAGGATAAGGTTGATAAGAAATGGTGTGTTTGCACACATAAGCTCGGCGTCGACTTCACAGAGAGATTTTGATAATACGTGGTCAATCATAACTGATATCTGCCAAAGACTACAAACGTACACAAAGAAAGACTATATGTCTGGACTGAATAACATTCAAAGACAGGCCCTGGAGGAGGAAAACGAAAATGCTGTCATTAAAAAACTTGAAGAGGAATATGAAAATTACAAATCTCTCAAGGAAATGTTGTCATCTTTGGAATCTCATTTGAAAGAACTGAAAGCAGTATTGGAATCCCCCTCAAAAGGTGATTTTTTTAAACAATATTTCAACCAATCCTTTTTGTCTTACAAAGATCATCCGTTTTCACGGGTTTAATATTGTCAGAAAAGGAAAACGAGAGGAAAACAATAGAACCGAAAGATAAAGTGTCTAAACTAAACCTTTTTTTCATCCAACAACAACAATGGAGAGTTTTTCGACCCTTAAAAAGTCAAGATCTTGAATTAAACAGCAATAACTGTTATAATAGAAAAAAAATTGATAAGACCAGAAGTACTTTTTAGACGCATAGCAAAATGGAAACCTAAAGAATATCTATGATTCTGTGGTAAGGGATATAAATCTTACTGTGCTGTTTTTTTTAAATTACTTACAATTTACTATATCTCAGTCCTTGTAAACTCTTTTAAAGAGTCAGAAAGTTGCCCCCACGGAGGAACCACAACTCTTTATGCTAAACTCAAACCAAAAATTGTTTAAAGAATGATTGTGAAAAAAAAAATGAAAAGTAACGTTGGAGAAATGGCTTTCCTGACTGTTCCCTTAAAATTCCTTAATTTTTGGAATTCATTAGGAGGTCCAGACAAAGCAACAGTACTTTTATGTCTTAAATTTCACAAGAATACCCTGTTTAATAGAAAATGTGACATATGTAATTTCTATTTAACATGGAAATTCCTGTTGACAAATTCAGAGAGTCATGAAGCCGGAAGTACTTTACAGATGCATACCAAAACTGAAACCTAAACGTATGTAATTCTACAAACAGCTGTGCTGTGTTGAAAGATAACAATCACCTCATTGTTTCTTAACGACGTTGGATCCTGATATTTAAAGTCTTAAACTTTTTTTGTCAAGTATATTTTTAGCTTGTACACACATAGCTTAATTAAAAATCAAAACAAAAAATGGGGGTCAATATGCTTCTTTTGGCGCTACAGTACATTTAAAATGACCTTTTTGCACTGAATTTGTGTCTTAATCAAAAATAACATCCTCGACGTTTTCCCTCCAATATTTTTTATCCAAATAAATCATGGGACAAAGTATGCTATTATTCTCTTTTAAAAAAGATACATTAAAATTGTGACAAAGAAAAATTTTCAAATTGCTTCGCATAATCAATTATTTGACCTTTCTGCACTCACAAAATGTCATTTTTCGGGCATTAAAATTTAACAAGCAAGAAAAATATTTTAAAGTCTTAAACTTTTGCTGAATTTAAGTAGATTGATCAGAGTTATCTTATATATTCAGAAAAGAAAATCAAAAGTGGAGGTCTATGATGTTATTTTTTAGATATTACTAAAAAACTGGTAATTTTGTGATAAAATTGGCTCAATTTTTTCCTGGAGTTTCAGAATATATTTTCTATATTTGTCACAATATGATGATAGAATTCACAAAAACTGATTTAATTAATATTTTAGAACTAGCATTAAACATTTCAATGCACACAATAGCTCTGTGTGCAACCAGCATGGAAAAATAGGAATCTAAACTTAACAGTACTGTATATATTTCAAAAGGGAAAAATGATCATTTTCTTCTAAAAAAATCTTCCGCCACAAAATATAGTTCCTGGCTTAATCCTATTTGAATGGAATTTAATCGCGCTTTTTCATTGGATATAGTATAATTTGCATTGTAGAATCCACATTTAATGTTAGAACTTAAAAATAATGCAGAATTTTAGAAATAAAGGTCCAGACCAAAATCTGCTCAAAAGCTCAGGATCGAACGTCCTTAAATAAGTGAAAATTACTTTTTAGCTCACTTGAGCGGAAAACTCAAGTGAGCTTTTCTAATGACCTGTTCTAAATGTTATTCTAAATGATTAAAATGTAGGGCCAAGCCCCCTTCGAAGTGGAGGTAATTTTGAAAAGCAAAAAAAAAAAAAAAAAAAAAAAAAAAAAAAAAAAAAAAAAAATAGGGCGTAGTTGTCAAGGCCAACTTTTAGATAATGTTTGTTTGCCCTATACCGACTTAGGATGAAAAAATTGGGTCAGTAGGCAGGTGAGAATTTTTTAACAAGAAAATTTTATGTTCAATGCTGAATTTTCAAAATCTATTTCCCTGAATGCATAAAAAAATGACTGCTTCCTGAAGGTTAAAAAAGTTTTGAGTTGAAAATTTTTAGCCAGTCGATCGGAAAAGGGCAACCAAACAGTTTTTTTTTTAATATGCCCTAAAAAATCTTCTCAACGCAGCTATGTTAAGCTAGGCTGTCCGAAGGCTTAATATGCACTAAAACAAGCTGTTTTATTTGGTCTGTGTTGTGATATCAATTTGAAATTTATGTATATATAGTAAAACCAACTTGTGAAGATAGTTTTATCAGGTATCAAAAAACATGTTTTTGTGATGTCACATGACTTCGATGATCACGTGACGGTCACTTATAACATTTCCAAAATGTTGCATACGAATTACATCGGCACAAGTGATAAACAAAATTATTGTGAACTTTTTGTTATTTGAATTGTATCGTATTGTATATATAAAGTGCTGGGGCAGGTCTGAATTTTATTTATATAGTAACTATTTCACGAGAATTTCATCTTACTCACACATATATATGAGTGTATTTTACACTCTTTATTGCAATTTATACAAATATAGGCTATAAATAGGCTATAAATCAAATTATCCTCCAGCAAGATTCGATTAGAGATCATACCACTCTTGTAGATTCACACAGAATATCTTTAATTTATCCTTATTAATAACTTGTGCCAGTCTAATTTATACACGATGTATCAATTCTAACTCTATCTGCCGACGTGTAACAGGGAGTATTTCACATTCTACTTTTGCTTGATTACCCTGTATATCAGAAAAGAAAGAAATCATAATGAAAATATTCACCATTATACTAAGTTTATAAACAATCCAGACACCTGAATTCAACGCAGGTATGTTAAGGCTGTACCCAGATCATATTTCGGCGAATTTAGACTTTTTTCTTAAAATGTAACATTGATAAATCGGAAAAGCCATAGATAGAACATTTACTATTATTATCCAATGTATAGACGTCACTGAGTCTTAGGCTTAAAGAAGGACTCCACTACGACGTCATCACGTGACGTCTATAAATAGAAAAATTGCCTTAATGAAAAAGTGAAAAGTTCAACACTACCCCGGGGAGAATTCATTTCTTTTTGTAAAAATAATTATATAAAAACATCACTGGGTCTTGAAAATATGCTGCTAGAATCCCACTCTCCCGACACAGTAAATTTTTTTCCAAAGTTTCACATGAAACCTTACCAAAATTATTACAGTTTGTACAAACGATCAAGGAATTGTTATCAATTCATGTTAATCACACGATTCTAGCAGCACTTTCCAAGTACTATAGAATACAAGCTTTCGATACAAACAAAAATTATGCCTCAAAGTATGCGGCGTAGTGTTGAACTTTTGCAACTTTGTTGTTATAAAACGACAGAGGAAAGGCTGATCGGGATTTCAAAGCACTGCCTGTGTTCAATATAAGAAAACATGATAAGTAAATATCAGCGTACCTGATTCTTAATCTTTAATTCCTTATGAATCACACATAACATTCAGGGTATATGCTTCAAAACTCCCATTTTATATATTTGTTTACATGAATTCTCGTCACGTTTAACTTTCACTCGGCAAATATTTGATCAATAGTTATGACTTCATAGGTTTGGTATTTAACCCCCGTGATAAATGCTTAGCTATTTATACCACCCAAAAACGACAAGATTTTGTTTATATTATGTTTTTGAATGATTTCTTTCATTTCTTGGACCTGAAATTAAACTTTAAATATAGATATTAAGAAATCATTCTTTCTATACTTCACGTCATACAGCTTACTATGACGTCATATTGTAGAGGCAAGTAGGATATCTCTGGTTGTAGCCTTAACATACCCGCGAACATCAACGTAAAATACTTTGTACATGCCTTAAGACAGAAATGTAAAATGTATGACACTCTCTCTGTCATTCATGTCAGCTCAAGTTTGCAGTTACATGACGTCATATACTATTATGACGTCATATCTAAGTAGTTCAGAGAAGTGACTACTGCTGGTGCACTGTGATATTTTACAGACAGCCTTATCCTAGCCGCGAAGAACCTCTGGACCAGAAAATGTGAAAGTTAAGTGATTTTACATTGAAATATATAGGGAAAATCTTCTCAAGAACCACAAAAAGGGATTATATAGGGAAAACCGTTAAAACTCTTCTTTGCAAGAACAGCAAAGGCATGATGAATCATATTAATGTAGTAGCATCCGCAGGTAGTGTATATGGTGGCATATTTACGCCATCCACATAATTTTTGTCGACATAAGATATCGTGTCACGTCAAGATAACTATCTTGTCAAGTCAAGATAACGTACTGGTTTTATTGAGATACACCAACTCCTATCTCTTCTAGTCAAGATAAGATATCACAATTTGTAGTTAGGTCATTATTACACGCTGAAATATCTACGGATTTTTACATTTTTATGACAATGAGCACACAGCGGTTGTGACCGGTTGGAAGTGGATGTTCACTCCTCCATGGCACCTGATCAAACTTCTGATGTTTTTGGAGGTCAGTGTTTGCTTTGCTTCCAATTTGCATTGTTTGAATGGACTTTTGTTCGTTATCTCCATATTTTGTCGATTGAAAACAGCAATTCACAACTAACTGGGAATAGACATATCCTTACCTTTAAATAGTTATCAGTGTAACGTGTCACTAGTTCTATAGTTTTAGACAATCGTTAAAAACACGGATACAGATAAAATTTGCAGAAATACAAGAGAAATTACAAATTTACTTTCTCATAAAAAAAAAACCAAGCCATTACTTTAGTTAATATAATTACATGCACGTCCAAGTAGTATGAATTCATATATATTTTGAAATAGATTAAATATGCATCTTTCAAAATAACGTAAATTCCAGAGAAGGGATCAGGTGCCTCGGAGGAGTAAGCATCTCCTGTTGAAAGGTCACACCCGCCTGTGTATTGATCAGGTAGACGGAACATTTCGTAGTGAAGGATGACGTTTATATATTTTGAAATAGATTAAATATGCATCTTTCAAAATAATGTAAATTCCAGAGAAGGGATCAGGTGCCTCGGAGGAGTAAGCTTTTAGTTGACAGAAACGGGATGCTATAAAGTACGAGATGTTAAATCAATGCTATAACTTAATATCAATTTTAAAAAAAAAATTGATATTTTCTTATTTGAAGAAAATATACAAGAACAAAAGTAAATTGATGGTGACGCAGAGGAAATTCGGACATGATTTTTTCATTTTCATTTTTTTTTTTTTTTTACAGTTTTTTTCTTTCAATATTGTTCATAAAGTTATAATTTTATGTGATTTTTAACACCGTTTTGCAGATAAGTGTGTTAGCTTAGGTATTATTTCAAATAATTGATAGCATGGAATGAAGAATTCAAAAAAATATGAACAAAAACCATTCCAGACAACATATATCAAGAATTTGATCATTGACTCACATAATTTTAATACCAGTAGAATAAGGGCAATAAAAGTAAACTGAGGCTATGAATAGTTTAGTCATTAAGATTTATGTAATATAAAATTAAAAATGGGTAAAAATTAGAGAAATATCAGAGGAAATTTGAACTGAAATAATTAATAAGATTATAGTTCAAACATTCATTTTTTTCTTAATATTTATCAAAACTATTTCATTTATATAATATTTCAAAGAGTTTTGTTACGTGTTATTTTTGTAAATAAAGAAGATATTGTATAAATGTTAGAAATTGAGGTATTTTCCAAAAATTACTCAGGGGCCCAGCAGCTTGAAAATAAGGTCATTGACCTAGTTATTTGAAAGCGAATAATAACACTACAATCATATGTCTACGGCGTACAAAAGGTGGTTATTAGCTCACCTGAGCCGGAGGCTCAAATGATTTTTTTTTTCATCAAAATTTGTCCGGTATCTGTCGTCGTCGGCGTCGATGTTGTCGTAAACTTTTCACATTTCCTTTTTCTTCTCAAGAACCGCTGGGCCGATTTCAACGAAACTTGGCACAGAGTGTTCTTGGGTTAAGGGGACACAAGTTTGTTCAAATGAAGGGCCACGCCTTCTTCCAAGGGGGAGATAGCTAAGAAATAGTGAGAAATGGGTGGGAGTAATCAAAAATTTCTTCTCAAGAACTAATGGGCTAGAAAAGATGAAACATCTATGAAAGCTTTCTGACATGATGTAGATTCAATATTGTACAAATCATGAGCCCCGGGGGTAGGGTGGGGCCACAATAAGCGATCAAAGTTTTACATAGAAATATATAGGAAAAATCTTTAAAAATCTTCTTCTCAAGAACAGTACTAGTATAGCCAAGATTGGTAATATTTAAATGGAAGCATCCCAGGGAAGGGTAGATTTAGATTTGTTCAAGTCATGACCCCTGGGGGCAGGGTGGGGCCACAATGGATGATCAAAGTTTTACATAGAAATCTTTAAAATCCTCTTCTCAAGAACACCAAAGCCATTATAAGTGATACTTAGGTAGAAGCATCCTCAGATAGTGTGCATTCAAATTTGTTCAAATTATGACCCCTGGGGATAGGGTGGGACCACAATGGGCGATCAAAGTATTACATAGAAATATATAGGAAATATCCTTAAAAATCTTTTTCTCAAGAACAGTTCAGCCATGATTGGTAATATTTATATTGAAGCATCCTCAGATAGTGTAGATTCATTTTTTTTCAAATCATGACCCCTGGGGGTAGTATGGGGCCACAATGGACGATCAAATTATTACATAGAAATATATAGGAAATATCCTTAAAAATCTTTTTCTCAAGAACAGTTCAGCCATGATTGGAAATATTTATATTGAAGCATCCTCAGGTAGCGTAGATTGAAATTTGTCCAAATCATGACCTCTGGGGGTAGGATGGGGCCACAATGGGCGATCAGATTATTACATAGAAATATATAGGAAATATCCTCAAAAATCTTTTTCTCAAGAACAGTTCAGCCATGATTGGTAATATTTATATTGAAGCATCCTCAGGTAGCGTAGATTGAAATTTGTCCAAATCATGACCTCTGGGGGTAGGATGGGGCCACAATGGGCGATCAAATTATTACATAGAAATATATAGGAAATATCCTTAAAAATCTTTTTCTCAAGAACAGTTCAGCCATGATTGGTAATATTTATATTGAAGCATCCCCAGGTAGCGTAGATTCAAATTTGTCCAAATCATGACCTCTGGGGGTAGGGTGAGCCATTTTCGGTGATTAAAGTTTTACATAGAAATATATAGGAGAAATCTTCTTGTCAAGAACAGCAAGGCCATTATTGGTGATATTTATGTAGAATCATCCTCAGGTAGTGTAGATTCAAGATTCAATTCCCCCGGGGTAGGGTGGGGCAAATACTGGCGATCAGAGTACTACATAGAAATATATAGGAAATATCCTTGAAAATCTTCTACTCAAGAACATTACAGTCATGATTGGTAATAATTTTATGGAAGCATCCTCAGTTAGAGTAGATTCAAGTTTGTTCAGATCATGAACCCCGGAAGTAGGGTTGAACTACAGTTTATGATCAAAGTTTTACATAGGAATACATTGGAAAAATCTTGAAAAATCTTCTTCTCACAAACAACAATATCATGAATCTTCTCAAGAACAGTAAAGCAATGATTAGACATATTTCCATGGAAGAATCCTCAAGTAGTTTACATTCAAGATTGTTCAAATCATGACCCCCATGGGTAGAGGAGCCACAATTGGCGATCAAAGTTTCACATGAGAATACATAGGATAAATCGTTAAAAATCTTCTTACCAAGAATAGCATATTCATGATTAGTCATATTTATTCAGAAACATCCCTAGGTGAGGTATATTCCAATTTGTTCAAATCATATCCTCTGAGGATAGGACGGGCCACAATTAAAGATCAAACTTATGAAAAAAATCTTCTTAAGCTATGATTACTCAAAGAAATTTGAAAGCATTCTGAGTTAGTGTAGATTAAAATGTGAATAAATCTAGCCCCCTCCCCCCCCCCCCCCCAATCCAAGGATATAATTATGTTAGAGTAAAACGCATTGAAGACTTCAAATAGTGGAATGACCTGACATCCCTTGGAATGGACTAGCCTAAGGGTATATAATGCAAAGCTTTGGGAAAGTCAAGCATTCAGAAGCTAGCTGAAGAAGTTGGACGATTAATGAGCAATAAAGAAGTTAAGGTATTCCATCCTATTTCAATGAAATTGAATACATAACAGATATGTTGGTGTTGAATACTAGGTATATTTAGACAACTCTCATTTATTACTATTAATATGTAAGGGTGGAATGTGTCCTAATTTATGACCTTGAATTTTTGTAAGAGCTATCTCCCTCTGTTTTTGATTTTAAAAAAAATCAATTTTAAGGACAGACGATACGTTCCTCAATAGTATATTTTTTCCCCAAGATTTTGTCATTGAAGTATTGCTACCAGTACTTTAGCATGTTTACTTACAAAAACTTGAGGTACCTTACCAGGCATTTGTGCAATACCACAGGATGTTGTTTCCTATATAGTCCTTTTGGGAAAAACTTTATCTGCCAGTATCACACTTTTTAGTGCTTTGATTATTTTAAGACAAGGAGAAACCTGCTAAGAAATCAGAAGGTAATAAAAATTTTGATTATTTTTCATACATTACGAAGATTTGCAAAACAGATATTTGAGGAACTATCGTCTGACCTTAAAAAACTTATCTGGTAAAAAAAAAATCGTCATCAATTGTCATTCTATTTCTAATGTGGTTTAGTGCATTTTACCGCTACAGTATTTATTGATATTCTTATTATTTGATTTTTTTTTTATTTTTTAAAAAATTGCTCCATACTTCAATGCAATCTTTGTTAGGTAGTCACATGTACTTCTTAATTAATTACATTTTTGAAGCTTTCTATTAGTATATCCTTTTGTACTGTAAAATGCTTTAAATTAATATCAGAGTATTTTGTATGTGATTGACATTTAGGAATAGAGGATGGAAAACCTTAAGTGTAAAAGCAAAATAAAAGTGTAAAAGTTTTAAACACCAGTGAGAAGTATCCTAAGGATTTGTTGTTAAGTTCTGTTGTATTTAATCTAGGTGAAGTAAATTTGAAAGAAAAATTGAGACCCAAATCTTATCTATCACTGGGAACCTAGAAGAGAAACAGTGCAAGTAGTATCTTACCCAGTCCCCCTCTCTAGATATAAAGAAAATCTAAGTACTTTGTGATATAATCTCAGACAGAGCAGTTTTAATAATCATTCCAAACATTAACTCAGAAAGAGTAAAAGGAAAACCTATATATATCCCTTGTAAGAACCTGATCATAAACGTTACATAGGAAGTATCTTTGAAATCTCCTCCTAAAGAATAACTAAGCCATTTTTAGTCATATTTTTTTTTTTACAGAGGCAACCTTGGGTATTTTAGAATCAAGTTTGTTCAAATTATGACCCCCAGGGGTTGAGGGCTCAACAGAGGGTCAATGTTTTGCAGAAGAATATATAGGAATATATAGGAATCATCTTGAAAAAACCTTATTCTCAAGAACAGCAAAACCATGATTAGTCATGTTATAATAGATGCATCCCCAGGTAGTGTAGATTCAAATTTGTTCAAATCTACAGTGGGTAGGATGGGGCCACAATGAGCAATCAGTTTTAGATAGGAATACATAGGGGGAAAAACATTTAAAATTCTCTGTTTAAGAACAGCAAAGTCATGATTAGTAATATTGATATAGAAATGTATACAAATGTATCCTGAGGTAGTGTTGATTTAAGTTTGCCCCCCCCCCCTTAAAACTTTTCAATACTGAACTGATTTCTGCTTTAGCCCTCTTCAGTATTCATGGACATCTAGCAGGCAAAATGTCTTAGCTAGCAAGCAAATTGTTTTTGCCATTATAATGAGCATCTAACCCTATACAATCTGATCAATCAAATTAATGTCCCCAAGATCAAGCGATCGGGTTTTAGAGTGGGGGCTAGTATGGTCATATATTGAAAGATATTGAACATTGTACATCTTTTTTTCGAATATTTAAAAACCAAATTTTAGGCATCATTCCAGTATATACTTTGGTTGATTCGTCATATATGAAATATATATTAAGTGTGTTTCTTTTTTCAAACGCATTCTATTCATAAACTATTTAGATAACAAGCTACATGACTATGATAATGGTTATAGAATCCTATATATATTTTTTTGGTCACTGGAGTCCAGGGTTCCAGTTCCAGGTGAGACCAAAGTGGTCATAACTTAAGAAACCCTTTATAATCAGGTGACTTTCAAGGCCCATTGACCTCTTGTATTTGTTCACAGATGTTAATGGAAATGTAAACAGATTGAATAAAATCGTTTGGAATACTGCTAGATAGATTCAGGCTTGTGAAAGTCATGGTCCCTGGGTATATATGCGTTAAAAATACTGACAATTACTTTTTCATGAATTTAAGTGACACTCTTACAGGAAAAACACTGAAAGATGAAATTCTGGAAAACTGGATGGAAGAAGATGTTGACTTTATTCCTACAAGAGCGAGTGCAGTCGTGGAAGAAATGCTTAAACATCAAAATCTTGTTACGGTGGCTGGAAATTCTGGGTCCGGAAAATCAGCTCTTATTCAACACATAGCACTCAAGTATAAACAGCAAGGATGGAATGTCATACCAGTGGCTGAAGTGAAAGAAATTAGAAAGATCTGCTCGCCTGGCATCTCAGAAAAACTGTTTTTTGTTCTCAACGACCCTTTGGGTAAGGATTCTATAGATGTAGTATTGTATAATTCATGGAAAATGTGTAAAGAAACGCTGGAGATTTGCTTGAAGAAGGTTAAACTAGTGGTGTCATGTAGAAGATGGGTTCTGTACGATAAGAGAGTGAAGGGAATATTATTGGATGAATCCACAGTAGCAGAAATTGACGACGAAAAAAATAGAATGACAGATGTAGAGAAAAGAACGATCCTAAACCAGTACACACAAAATTTGAAACTGTCCCGAAAGTTTGTTTCAGAAATTATCAAAACAGAAGCTTACTTTCCATTGCTTTGTAAGCTTTTCTCTAGGGATTCAGAATACAAGAAGGGGGTTGATTTTTTCCAATGTCCATACAACTTTATTAAAAAAGAAATTGAAATGTGGAAGAAAACAGAAAGTAAGAAATTTTGCGCTCTGATTCTGATTGTTGTCTTTAAAAACAATTTGGATATCGATGCTATTAAAGGGAATAAAAATTCCATGAAAAAATATAAAGACATATTAGGAATGTGTGAATTACAAGAAAGCACAAATATTTCAGTCATTCGCAGTACTCTTCATGAAATGAAAGGATCTTACGTCAAATGTGTCGGGCATGCTTTTCAATTCCTCCATGACTTCATTATGGAGATAACGACATTGGTTTTTGGTGTTGATTGTCCTCAGGAGACAATACAGTACGCAGACAGTGGTTTTCTGAGACGACGGATGAAGATTGAGAAAAAAGAGAAAGACCATGATCCCTTCACAATTTACCTGCCTGAAGTGTACATAGGTGATCTTGTGGACAGGTTTATCACTGACATTCAGACAGAAAATGTGATAGACGTACTCTTAAATCCATGTTTAAGGAAAGAAAGTGTGATCAGATGTATAAAAGAAAAAATTGACTTGCCTGAAGTTCTTCCAAAGCTTCTTTTAATTATGGGATGTGAAATAGACAAATCAGAATTTCTTAAATCATACCGGAGTTTTACTTTGTCTCGACTTGGTTTTCTTGATTTGAAAGGTGAAACATGTCCGCTGATTGGATTCATTACATTTTGTCATGATGATATTTCTATATTTCTTTTGAAAAACATCATTCAATTGACAACTCGAGAAATGCCCATATTTTCTGCTATTTGCGCAAATGGTGATTCAAAGTTCTTAGAGTTTCTTAGCCAAGAGTATAAAGAAACAGCTATGTTGGAAAAGTGGGGAATATTGTTACCAATTCATATTGCTTCTGTATTCCATAGCTTTTCAATCATTGAAGAATTGGTAAGACTTGGTGCCAACGTCAACATGCTTACGACTGATAATGAATGGACACCGTTAATATTGGCAGCATATAATGACGAAGAACATTTAAAAGAGGCTGGTAGACAGACAGAAGGAGGAAAAAGACGTAATAAAACAATTCTTTGCTTATTAAACAATGGAGCTGAAATCAATTTATGTGGTATTAATGGAGTCAGTCCTCTTTATATAGCTTGTCAGAATGGACATGACAGCACGGTGAAAATATTAATGAGCAACGGTGCGGACATCAATTTTTATCATAACGATGGTACCAGTCCTCTTTGGATAGCAAGTCAAAATGGACATGACAGCACAGTGCAACTATTACTGAGTAAAGGGGTTGATGTCAACTTCTGTAACAAGAATGGAGTCAGTCCTCTTTATATAGCTTGTGCAGCCGGACGTGACAGCACAGTGAAAATATTACTGAGCAATGGTGCAGACATCAATCTTTATCATAATGATGGTACCAGTCCTTTGTGGATAGCTTGTCAAAACGGACATAACAGCACGGTTGAATTTTTACTGAGTGAAAAGATGGACGTCAATTTCTGTAACCAGAATGGAGTGAGTCCTCTTTATATAGCCTGTGCAAATGGACATGACAGCACGGTTCAAGTTTTACTAAGTAAAGGAGTTGATGTTAATTTCTGCAACAGGAATGTAGTCAGTCCTCTTTATATAGCTTGTGCAGCCGGACATGACAGCACAGTGAAACTATTACTAAGCAATGGCGCAGACATCAATTTTTTTAATGACGATGGTACTAGTACTCTGTGGATAGCTTGTGCAAATGGACATTACAGCACGGTTCAAATTTTACTCCACAACGGCGCTGACATGAATATATATCATAACGAAGGTGCCAGTCCTCTTTGGATAGCAAGTCAAAATGGACATGACAGCACAGTACAACTTTTACTAAGGGAAGGAGTTGACGTCAATTTCTGCAACAAGAATGGAATCAGTCCTCTTTATATAGCTTGTGAAAACGGACATGACAGCACGGTGAAAATATTAATGAGCAACGGCGGAGACATCAATCTTCATCATAACGATGGTACCAGTCCTCTTTGGATAGCAAGTCAAAATGGATATGACAGCACAGTGCAACTATTACTGAGTAAAGGGGTTGATGTCAACTTCTGTAACAAGAATGGAGTCAGTCCTCTTTATATAGCTTGTGCAGCCGGACGTGACAGCACTGTGAAAATATTACTGAGCAATGGTGCAGACACCAGTCTTTATCCTAACGATTGTGTCAGTCCTCTTTGGATAGCTTGTCAAAATGGACATGAGAGCACGGTTCAAGTTTTACTGCGAAAAGGGGTTGATGTTAATTTCTGTAACCAGGATGGAGTCAGTCCTCTTTATATAGCCTGTGCAAATGGACATGACAACACGGTTCAAATTTTACTTCGCAACAGCGCTGACATCAATATAAATCATTACGATGGTGCCAGTCCTCTTTGGATAGCTTGTCAAAATGGACATGACAGCACGGTTCAAGTTTTACTGAGTAAAGGGGTTAATGTCAATTTCTGTAACAAGAATGGAGTCAGTCCTCTCTATATAGCTTGTGAAAACGGACTTGACAGCACGGTGAAAATATTACTGAGCAACGGCGCGGACATCAATCTTTATCATAACAATGGTACCAGTCCTTTGTGGATAGCTTGTGCAAATGGACATAATAGTACTGTTAAAATTTTACTGCGCAACGGCGCTGATATCAATCTATATAATAACGATGGTGCCAGTCCTCTTTGGATAGCAAGTCAAAATGGACATGACAGCACGGTACAGCTATTACTGAACAACGCTGCCGACATCAATTTATGTGATAAAAATGGCATTAGCCCCTTCCATGTAGCCTGTTACAAGGGACATGACACCATTGTACAACATTTATTGAACAAAGGCTTTGACGTCAATCTTATTGACAACGATGGTGCTAGTCCTTTGTGGATGGCTTGTCAAAATGGACATGACAGCACAGTTCAAATTTTACTGAACAAAAACGCTAGCTTAAATTTATGTGACAAAGATGGAAAATATCCTCTGTGGATAGCTTGTCAAAATGGGCATGAAAGCATTGTTAAACTTTTACTAAAAAACAACGCAGACATCAATTCATGTAACTTCAATGAAGTCAGTCCTCTGGATATAGCACGTAAAAATCAACATGAAAGCACAGTTAAACTGTTAATCAGTGAAAATGTTGAAATAAATTCATGTAACAACAATGGAGTCAGTTTTCCGAAGAAAGCTCGAAAATAAGACATGATGGCGAGTTAAAACTTTGACTGAAATTTGGCGCAAAGTTGAACACATGATTCTAGTATGTAAACGTTGTTTTAAAGACATTAATGATTGCTTTAAAATTCATTGATATAAATGTACATGTATTTTTGAAGAAGTAAAGGCACCCTCTAAAAGTATTTTAACTATTCTAAAATTTCTTTTTTAAATTCCGAAATTTGATCAACTGACAAAAATCGGGGCAAATTTACTTTTAAAGTGGGGAAGTAGATCGATTTTGTCCACCAGAAGTCCCTCTGCTCTTTAGAGCATGTGTAAAATACGAAGTTAAATATACATTGTATATACAACAATATCAAGGTTTAATACACACGTACAACTTGTTGAGAGTGATACAAGTACATTATTTAATTTTTTTTATATATCGTACTTATTTTTTTAAGTTGCTTGTTGTGTGTGTGTGTGTGTTTGGGGGTGGGGGGTGTTACAGTTGGTTGGTCTTATAGCACTGTACTATTGTATGTACATTATTATATGGAAAAATTCTAATTGTTTTAAATATCCATTCCATTTATTTATTTTTTTATCAATATGCACGATCATATGTACGAATTGGTAATTCAAAATCGTTGTGTGTGTGTAGGGGGGGGGGGGGGGAGGGTGCTTTTGTAATTATAATGAATAGTGGTTCGGCTGCGAATTTGATCGCTAAAATATCGTGGATATTAGTGGTTCACGTAAAGTCTGCACACAGTAATACTTCAAATGATGGAGAGCCCTGTTGATGAGTAAATAGAAAATTTGTAAATGATACAGTAAATGATTTAAATGAAGATAAATATATAAGAGACCTGTTTTAAAGTTACACTGATATATGAAATATCTTTTATGATGAGATCTGACCTGGAGGAATTTGTTAATATTGTATATTATAAAAAAATTAGTAAATACAACTATATGTTGTGTGTACAGGTCCAGATATTGTTAATGTCAGGATTGACACATGTAGCTGTAACACTGATTTATATACATATGCAGCCTAGGTCCACAACTTGGTATTTATCAATATTATTGCTCATTTTGAGATTTGTAAATATTTTTGGTACATTATATAAATTTACTTGAGTTTTATGCATATGAAGAAATAAGAGTTACTTCCCTTCAATTGTGAACTATTAAGTGATAATGAGTAAATGGGTAAGAATATCAGTGTAATATGGATTTTATGCTAAATAAATCTAATAAATTGGATAAAATATATACTTATGTTAAAGTTATACAATTATGGACTCTGCCAGTGGTGAATATGGTTTGTGGTGAATAACAAACCATATTCACCACCGAAAGAGTCCATATTTGTTTTGTTATATAGTCCGGATTTGAAAAAATAAGACATTGAAGGCTGCATGATGATACCACTTTCATTTACGAACTTCTGTCGTGGAAAAATAAAAAAAAATCCAAATTTCAAGTTATAGCTTCCGTACCCCTGTTTTCCTTTTGCTGTTTGTACAGTCCCTGAAACGTTCTACTTTCCCACTTGAACGGTGAGCGAACGCTGAACGAACGGTGAACGAACGCTGAACGAACGCAGAGCGAACGGTGAGTGAACGATGTGTGAACGCTGAACGCAACTTGGTGAACGGTTGGTGAACGGTTAGCGAACGGAGCGCAAACGCGAGCGCAAAGTGAACGGTGAACGAACGGTGAACGCAAGATGAACGATTTATTCGGAATGCCTCTGATCTTTTCCTTGCATTGAACCTACTCCACTGTATTCTAATGTCAGGTGCCAGAAAATAAATAAATAAATAAACAAATCATTGAATTTATAAATTAATAAAAGAAATGTTCCAAAATTGACCAAAGAAAGACAATAAGTAAAACTATTAATTTGAGTTTCTTACAATATCTTCTGCACATACATGTATGTATGATGTTCACACGATTTTTATCATTGTAAAACATTGTAATTGTTACCGAACACTGTAGTATAAAAGATTTAATTATTCTAGTTGTAAAATATAAATGTTTATTCTTATCTTATACATAAAATCATAATAAATAATGTGGATTTTAGAAGAGAAAACTACTGATTTACAGAATGAATTACTACGGTTGTAACAACCATACAGGTATTTCCGTGTCAAGGCGATTCCGTGTAAAATAACGAAATTGAAATAATTTACAAAGGTGTGTGGACGTATTGCATAAATACACCCGTATTTTAAAATTGTAATGCAAAAATATATTTATGTGTCATTTCTATTTTTTTTTTTTATGTCGATTTATTGAGCAGACTTCTACAAGTATCTGTAGACATTTCCCAGTGATTATTCGCGGACAAGATGATACAATGAGGCATTCATATAATTTGTTATAGATTAAATTTTCAGTACTTGAAACATGTATAAAAGTAATATGCTGTCATGGTTTTATCAATCCGACAAATGAGAGAGAGAGAGAGAGAGATTCCGTTTTACCCCCCTTCTCCAAATGTCTGTACCTGTATCAAACTTTTTTTTTTAAAGTATATCAGGCAGTGAAAGTATATAACCATTTTATTTTATCAATAAATCCATCTGTTTGACAGTCATAATCGGGGGGTTTTATTTTCCTGCTTCAAGTTCACACGGTATCCACATGCTTGACCTGTCAATCAAAATCATTCAACCGTGTGCAGGTGTGAAAGTCTCGTCACATCGAAGATGAAGTGCTAGTATTTCCAAGATTTTTTAACATTTTTTTTTAAGTAAATAAATAAAATACATTGACCCATGGGAATAAACACTTGGCATGATTCAGCCACGTGAATGTGAAACATACTCCCTGCAATTTTAAAATACATGTACCACCGCCGGCACGTGTATATTTTGAAATGCAGTTGTTTACCCGTAATGACTTTTTTTTTAGATGCGTGTATGTTTTGAGACTGAATTTTTTTATGCTACAAAACGCATTATCTTCTTTTTTAATGTTAATTAAAATATACTGGAAATATTGACAAAGTAACAGATTAAGGGGGAAAAAAAGGGGGGGGCTCTTAAACATATCGAATGGCAAACATATAAAGTTACGGTGATCATGAAGGAAGGGATTTTTTTCCCTCTAACTATAGACTTTATACATATGTTAAGTAAAAAAAAATTCTGTAGTGTATTTTATTTTTAAATAAATATTTTTTAAACCACACTATCAATTTTATTCACTCCAAAGATATTTAATTGAATGGATATCCGCAGCACTATTTATAATTCTCAGAACTACTGCTAATGTTTCTTTCTACAGTAATTGAAAAAAAGTGTTAGAAATAAATATTTTAGTACTTTGCTGCAGTTGGTAAATTAATTGACTTGGATTATTATCGATTTTTCGTCTTTAACAAAGCAGCAAAATGTTGCAGTAGTGCTTGAAGTATCTGTATATTGTCCGTATTTAAATTTAATTTTTCAGCATCGTTCTTTATAGGTACATACTTGTAACAACATTTATTTTCCAGAGTAAATCAATAAGTTAAGTTACAATAATAAAGAAAATATTGTAGATAATTTTTTTGCCATGAAATAATGATTCTTTAAACACGATATGTTAATCATTAAATTGAAAAACCTGTAAATCCTTACTTACACTGTAAAAAGAGATAAGTCCTTTCACTTTGGAGTTCCGAATGACAATGAAGACTGAACGATTAGTGAACGCTGAACGTAAGATGAACGCAAAGTGAACAGACGAAGAGCGAACGCTGAACGCTTTATGAACGGTGAACGCCAGCGCAAGTTGAAAGCTGAACGCAAAACTGTGAACGGAGAGCGAACGGTGAACGCACGCTGAACGAACGGTCAGCGAACGGAAAAATGGGAAAGTAGAACGCTTCAGGGACTATAAGACATCAAAATGTTCAGAAAATAATCTTGCGATAGGCTTGGCTTATGTTTTTCCTGCTCAAATACAAGGCTGGCTCCGGCCGTTGCAACTATTGTTTACAACGTTGTTTGAGGTGTTGATTGTGACGTAACAATACCGCTGCACGCGCACCGATCCTCCGGTGAATATGGCTTCAAAACCAGTGAATATGTAGTGTTATGAACCGTTTGCGTTTGTATAGATTATACGGGGACTATAAATAGACTATATAATAATATGAAATATTTATTATGTTTACATGTTTTGTTGGGCTGATTCATTTATATATAAAATACCATCCATGTCAGAATTAACCATCCATGTCAGAATTAAAGAACTCTACAAACTGACCAGCGTTTTCTTTATTCACGGGAAAACCCAATTACACATAATATGTTTGAAATCATCATTTTCTAATAAAACGATAACGTCATTGACGTTATTCAATAACGTCATCTTTTTAAAAAAAATGACGTCTTAGAAACAGAGACTAAGATTAATTTGATGATGAAATAGAATTTTAACCTAACTTTATCCTTACACATTTTGAATAAAAATAATAGTTTTGAATAAAACTAAGGACATTTTGTGTGTATCTGTACATGTTGTACAGTGCTTTCCTACAATAAAAACATGTTTATGTATATCAACTTTATTTCATAAAGTAGACTATACTTCTTGCTTTCAATAAATATTGTTGAAAACGGCAAAGAAAATAATTATGATAACAAAGAAAGAGGAAAATAAATACAAAACAAAGCTGTGTCATTACATGTACGGTATTCAAGCGGTTGACAGACCCGATGGGAAATTTATGACCAGGTAAATGCTTGCGAGAGTCAGTGAGACCAATGGGATATAAAATAACTGGCCTATCCTGGTTACGATTGCTTTAAATATGCTGATCCTCACTTCTGCTAATGAAACTCATTCATCTACGGACACAATACCAATCTCTGTTCTTTGAAATCAGTGGTACTTTTGTATTCCCTTTAGAGGCTTAGGAAAGTCTTCCATTCCAGCCACTGTCATGCATGGTACTGGGGAGCCGAAATTGCGACTGAAAACTGGTCTACGATTGTTTGAAGCTTATCAATGGAGTTGGTCTCTAAAGT